CCTTGTTCATCATTATCATCGATATTTCCTTTTTTTGTTTTTTATTAAAAGCAGTTTTTTTCCTTCTTCATCGTTCTCATCGATACCTTCGTTTCTTCATTTTTTGATTAAAATTTTTCCCCCTCCATAGCAATTTCCAAAAAACAGGTTTTTGCCCTTCTTCATCATTATAATCGATGTCTCTGCTTCGTTTTTATTTTTTCTTTTCCCTCCTCGATAGCTATATATTTGGAATATTGGCCGATATCTCGATATTTTTCTCCTTCAAATTCATTACCTTCTTCCGTTCGCTGGATCCGTTATTAATTCCTCTATTTCCACCTTTCTCCAATGCTAATCAGATAATCGAATTTCACGTATACAATTGCGTGTACCTGCTCTCTACCGGTATCGTAGTTAATCGACTCGAGCTCTTTGCCTGTATTCACGAACCAAGCACGAATGCATAAGATAGTATTTAAGGTTTTGCAGTAACATGGTATATAGATACACACAGAATTATGTTGAATAAAAATCGCGTACGAATCGAATATTGTTCTGCAGGGGGAATATTATTCATTAATTCTTCTTTTACGAACGAGAAAAGTAATTAACAATCACTTGGATTTGTAATTCTATTAATTCTCACTTGCACTTTACAGAGACAGAGAAGTTTATAATCAATGAACTTATTAGAGTATATAATATTTATTTTCATTGTGAATCCACAATGAAGAAGGATATTAAATTATCCTCGTTTATTAAAAATCTATCTTGATAATTTTAAAAATACTTCAAATATAAAATTTTAAACGATTCTAAAATACGATAATTTCGATACGGAACAATAAGCAAAACAATCAAATGACATCAAATTCTTTCACGCGTGAAATTTTTATCTTCAAGAATAAAATAAGCTCGAAAGTAAGCCCTTGAAGAATTCCAGAATTCAATGTGTAAAAAAATTGCAACATCTTGCGGAGAGTTTAAAATAAAATACACCGAAACATGCATCAATTTGCTTCGTTCTGCAAAGTACTTGTTCTGCACGCTAATGACAAGATGCAAGTTGCTGTGTATGGAGCAAGCAATATTCATTACAGCTGCGACAGAGATAGAGTCTCGCCACTTTGACGAAACTATTATTAGTCGACGTGAAAGCGCACGACGAGACAACCGATTCCCCTATACAAGGTGACCGACTTGTCAGGAAGCGATTGTATCCTAAACTCGATTAAGAAATAACAAAGATGTAAATTCATGTCTATAGTTTTTCAACAATATATAATGCTACGTTATTCGATAGAAATTTTGAAATAAAACGTGATCGAAACGATCCCTTGAAATTGCATCACAAAAATTGAAAGAAAAATTTACCGTAAAATTATCATTCGTCAGACAGACATGTAATAACTACTTGATATTACTTTGTTTATTGCTTTATCAAAAGATTATTATTGGCAAATGAGCGAGAGATAGACGAATACCTTTTGGAATCGTTCAGCTAGTTTAATAATTTAATATATTCACGATGAAAATAAATATTAATAAGTTTATCGATCATTAAACTTCTCTGCCCTGTACAAGTGAGAATTATAATAGAATCACAAATCCAAGCGATTACCTTTTTCGTTGGAAGAAGAGGAATTAATAATACAATAATTTTAATATATTTCTCAATTTCTGTATATAGATTGTAAGTAGATTAATTTTTATCGTACACGCATTAAAATCGACGCACACTCTCCGTTCAAGGCTTTTCGTGAAATTGTTGGCCAAAGTCAGAGACGTTCTCGCTTTGATGCAACTTTGCTTTACGAAAGCAGACCTCGATTTATCGCGTAACAAATTGGATCGATAGATAGGTTTGCCCACAGGTAAAGGCAAAGGATCCTTCGACACTGTTCGATTGGCCCATTACGAGTGGCAATAACCTCTAATTATTTCCCTTTGTTATCCGTTTCTGCCTCGAAACATCGTTATTTGCTTATATTCGAAAAAAAAAAAAAATTCCTCCACCTTTGGATGAAACTTTTGTTGGTGAATAGCATCTTGTTTTTTTTTTTTTTTTTTTTCTTAGAGCTCGTCGTCTTCGTGAGTGAATTCAAAAACGATCGATATCGAGCGAACAACTTTCGGTGAAGTGTTTTGAAAAGATTTTCAATTGATTCACTCGCTCAAAAAAATTGTTGGAAAAATATTAACGGATGAAATGATAATTGCAAAAATTTTTCGATGTCTTTTTTTTTTATTGCATGTCTGGCTTAAAAGTTGTTGAAAATACGTTTCTCTCGAACGAAACGTAACTCTTTAATCATTCGTTTCAGGGGAACGAGTGGGATAGATATCGACCTACGCAGGCTGGACATAGATCAATGCCCTCTGCCTCCAGGATCCACTCAATTGAACATATTCGCAGCCAGTGACAAATGCAAAAAGCGTACCACAGAGGTTGGTAGCTTCGATGATCCTACAAGATAAAAATAATTTTTTGTTACAAGAAATATATGAGATTCAATGCGTGAAACAGGATCGAACAATTTTCATCAAATTCCAGATATTATTTTCACGATGTTTTCCATGTTTTTGTAAAAATTTCGAAAATTTTCCATCCTCGATTCGATTTGTGGAGAATCGATCGGTGATAATTCGGTTCGAAAGTAGCCAGCCAGATTATTCCATTTCATTTCCATTTCTTCTTTATCAACATCTAATTATCGTTCCGTTACAGTGCATCGCGATTCCAGGACTGGGATTTCGTCGTGGAAGCTATCGATGCATCTGCAAACGTGGCTTTTATTATCCCGACATCAAATCCACCAGTCGTTACTACAATGGCACCGTTATCGAGGAAGAATTCGAGAAGTTGATGATGGTGAGTTTCTCTCTTTTTTCTTCCCCAACGAAACAAAAATTTGCAAAAATTCAATCCGTGTATTCCTTTTTCTACTCAAATTACAACCGTGAAAATTTTATTTGCAAAAAAAAAAAAAAATCCATTTTGATATAAATTTATACAAACTATACTTTTTGAAGATATCGAACGAATTCTTTGTTCAAAGCGAGTTTCAAAATTCTGGGAGAGGAGAACTTTGAAAATTTTTATGGTTTAAGTTGTTTAAAAAAATAATAAGAAATATTAGTGTACAGTTTCGAAGGATTTAGAGGATATACTTTTGGATCAGGTTTCTTCGACGATAATTTGTCAATGTCTCACACCGGGCAAAACTCGTGTTCTCATATAAGCACATCATTACTTCCAGGTCACGGATCATTGTTTCTTACTCGAGGATTTTGAAAAGGGCGCTCGTTCGAATCGATCTCTAGTTTCTTCGCGAGAATTTCTCCTTAAACACTTTTGAATCTTTTTAAACTATGCTTAAATTCCCTCCCTGGAAGTCAGAAACTTGACAAACTCCAGGAATGATTCACGAGAGAGAGAGAGAGAGAGAGAGAGAGAGACAAGAAGAAAGAAAATAAGGAAATAAAATTTCTTCTTTCAAGTTTTAAACTTCTCGACCTCTTTGGGTGTCTAAATGACTTTAGTCTAAGATCTAAGAATTTGAAGAGGGTTAAGAAGTAAAGAAAAAGATTGTCTTAATAGCATTTAAAGTTCCATCATTGTTAAATAATTATCAAGTTATTTTGATATGTAATGCTGCATTATTTGATAGAAATAAATTTTGGAATAAAATGTGATTGAAGAAAAATTTATTGAATGAAACCATCATTCATTTCAAGAATATTAATTATATAAACACAATTACGTGAACACTAAAAATTCACCATCGATATCGTTATTTCAACCTTCAATTTCTTGCACTTAATCAAGAGATTCTGGCGAATCAGCACTTGCTCTATCATCCAACAATCAGCTCGATCGGATCATCTGCGTTAGAATTGGTCGCTCGAGTTATTTTGGGATAGGCTTGCCTTAAATTAGGGTTATCCTTTGAATTAGGATATTAGATTCAGGTTGATCTCGATTGCTCAACTCTCTCATCCTGTTCAGAGATTCGACGAATCAGCCCCTGTATGACTGCTATTCGCTCAACAGCATCGAAAGACACTTTCACAATTGTTTCGAACGATTCATTTTTAACTCTATCCCACTTAATTCTGCTGGTAGGAACATTTCAATTATTATTAAACGCGCAAAATGATACAAAAATAAGCAAAAGTAAAAAAAAAAATTGCCCAACTCTCTCATTCTGTTCAGAGACTCAACGAGAATCTCTGCCCCTGTATGACTACTATTCGCCCAACAACATCGAAAGACACTTTCACAATTGTTTCGAAAAGCGATTCATTTTTAACTCCATCCCGCTTAATTCTTCAGGATCATTTCAATTATTATTAAATGATACAAAAATAAGCAAAAGTAAAAAAAAAAAATTTCCAACTATTTTAACTTATTGTATTTATAACTGGTTTCAATTTTTCAAGAAACGTATTGAGAAATATCATTCACAGGGATATTTTTAAAATGGATATTTTCTTTAATCCACCAATCCTGAAAGGATTGAACATATTTGAGACGACAAACAAGTGTATTTTGTATCGAGACAAAAAAAAAAAAAGAAATTAATTACCAATCGAGATCGCACGTGATACGATGTTCGTTTTTTTTAGATGGTGAAGTTGCCACGGGTCGCTTGTAATTGCTGATAAATGACTAAGGAACACGCGTTCGTTACGAAAGGCGAGGCCTTGAGTATAATTAATGTATTTACAAACTGCAAAGAGAGAGAATATCTCGCATTGTTCTTTCATCCGAGAAAACGGTACCCGCATTCGTACTCGTTTAAAGAGAAATCGTTGATTGTAATGAATCGAATGCAATGATGATAAACGTAAATGCAACTATTATGCAACTATGCAAGAGATCGAAAAAAAAATTTCTATTTATCGTGTTTTGTCATGTTCTCGAAATTAGAATTCGTGTTCAATGATACACATTTTTTTTTTTTTGGAAATACTTCAAATAGTATCTTTTTTTTTTTCAAGAACATTTTGAAATATGTATTCAAGGAAAAACAAAGCGAACCAAGCACTTCCAGCCAAAGATCTTTATCGATGTTTAAATTATATCACGTAGACGCGACTCTCACCCCGTGAAAGGGAAATCACGCGAGGCACGAAAATTACTTCATATACTTAACGACACAGAAGTCGGCCTGGTTCGGCCGTATTTTCCATTAACCTGTCACGAATCAGGATCGTACACGTTGAAATGTACTACTTTTTTGAGGGAAAAAAAGTGACCCAAATTCCAAACTTCTGAACGACTGTTTAACATAACATAACCGATAACTAAATATTCGTTTCAACTCTCAAACTGTCAAAATTGAATCGTCGATCGAGATGAGATTATACGTAATTTTTAAAGCTAAGATTAAAATCAAGATTTCATCCGGAATGAAAGAATAAAAATTACGGGAGTATTAAAGAATTGTCACGTTGAAAAGCGATAGAAATTATTTCATTTAGTTTCGAAGTTTTAAAGAGGAAAGTTGTAATTAATCAAGAGACTTGACAAAGTTAATAAGCGGGGTACAGGGGAAAAAAAAATAGGTGAAAAGTTTCTTGGCAATGAGCCAAAGCAACAAATATATTGTTTATAGAATGTTTGCATGAAGTTGTGCGTTAAATATGCAAAGGTTGGTCGTGGACAGAAAATTTGACTAACTTTTTCTCGACTCGCTCGAAAACTCATTTGTGATCTTTTTCTTTTTATTTTAAAACGTGGAAACTTTCCAAAAAGGAAAGGAAAAAAAAAAAGCCAGCAAAGTACAATTTTATAAACCGGATCACCAGATCGTTTCTACTGAATTCAGAATTCACCAGATTCCAGATCATTCGAGAGCGATGGCGAAAATGATCCCTGCTCAGGATTATCGAGAATTTTTTCTTATCAATTAATTAATGAAAAATCATGCTGAGATGCAAGAATTATTATTCATGCCTATCCAAGATGAGATAAAAAGTTACTAAAATTTTTTCGTAACGTTCGATAGTGTTCCCTAGACGCGCTTGCCACTCCTTTTCCCCAAGCATGGAAATATTCCGATAAGTTTCTTCGCAAGCGATGCCATCTGACATTTTACATCGATTCTAATGGTTGCTCCTCGCTTCCAATAACTTTCCACGAAACATGAAAACCGTTTTCTACATGTTGAAACTTTTAAGGAAACTTCTTATTTCCTTTAAAGTCCAAGATTTCGTGTGTGATTCAATAATTAATTAACCAACGACTTTTCTCGACTTTTGTCGTTGTTGTTCCCTTTCGCATTCCTTCCATTCGTTTTTCTTTTCACGACCACCCTGTATATAGGAATATAATCGAATAGAATCCGTTGAATCGTTCGTTTCTTCGCGCGAAAATGGATATCGACAGGGGCCGTGCTGTCATCCACAATGTCATGCGGTATAATATGTGCTCGATTTGACGAGAGAATCTGCGCACGATCGGCGAAACGATTCCCGATTCGTGTTTCGACGAAACGTTATTAATCCGTTTCGCTCGATTTGTCGAATGAATTAGCGTAATAAATATACATAATTGAATTATTTTTATATACGCCGGGAAAAGTAGAATTTGTCCAAACCCAATCGTAATTTTTTTTTTTTTTTTTTTTTTTAGGTTGATTTTTTGCATTAAATAGGATTTAAAAAGAAAAAAAAATGTTCAAACTGTGACGTTCAGATGTTATTATGTGCGTTTCTTTGGCACACGTTTCTTTTTTACGAGTTTTCCAATTAGAACAGAATTTCGCAAAGAAATAAGAAGAAGAAGAAGAAGAAAAAAATAACAAATAAATGAACCAAGCTCGTTATCGTGGAATAAAATTTTTTTCAAGACCCAACAACATTTCCGTCAGAGTAAACGAGTTAAAAAAAAAAGAAGAAGAAGGGAGGAAATAAATATCAGGAGGAATAACTTAAACAAGAATAAGAATCGGGAGAACAATTAAAGGGAAGAATCTGCTCTTTTTACCAGATGGTGTCCTCGGTGACGCGACACGTTTTCACAAAGGGAGAGGAAAAAAAGAAAAAAGAAAAAAGGCTTAGGCAGAGAGGGAACAAAAGGAAATCCAACGGGGGCCAACTGGCTTCATTGTTCGGACATTATTTCGTCGGAACAAAACAATTCTTGGTGGAGGAAAAAAACGTACGTGCAAAGCGCAAAGTGGGTGAAAAAAAGGCGAATAATTTCTGCCACGATTCACTGTTACAACCATGGTAATTGAGGGTCTGCATTGAACGGTGTTGCATCACACATCCTCGAAATTCCCTATTCTCTAGAGAGCTGTTCCAGCTTTTTTACGAGCCCCTTTTAAAAAAGTACCAAACTCTGATACGGGTCAATAATAAATCAAATATTATTTTTTCCTTTTTACATACAGTTTGAAATAAAACTTCGCGATAGAGATGAATATTTGCAAATAAAAATATAACGGACGAATTAAATGCATCCAAGATAACTGTGCTTTCACGATTACAAGTGCTTTGTTCGTAACTCATTTTTCGTCTTTCTCTAAGTCAAAGTTTACAACCACAGCATAAGAAAATGTACAGAAAATATCTCGATGAATCAAGTGATCACAAAATTTAACGTTGGAACGTTCGAGAAGCGGTTAATTAACGAATTAAATGCACCCAAGATAGCTGTGCTTTCACGATTACAAGTACTTTGTTCGTAACTCATTTTTCGTCTAAGTCAAAGTTTACAACCACAGCATAAGAAATCCTTAAAATTCTCGTTGCAATTCGCATTGAATATGTCGATGAACAATAAATCAAGTGATCGTGAAATTTGAAGACTAACGTTGATATTGGAACATTCTGGAATTCCGTGAAAATCAAAATATAATT